AACATTTTGCTTTTGTTCTCCGTGTGTGTCTCTCTTTCTGCATGCACACACACACACACACACACACACACACACACACTTTTTATTTTACTAAGCTATTTGAAAGTAAGTTGTTTCAGCTGGAATCTCCCAAGAATGACATTCTTCTACACACCCACCATTCCATTGTCATACCTTAAGAAAATCAATATATTTCTATGAAATCTAATTTCCAGTCTATATTTATTTTCCCCAGGTCGTCTCAAAAATATCTTTAAAAAACGTTTAAAAAAGCCCTTCCTGGTCCAATCTAGTTCCATGTATTGCATTTGGTTGTTATATCGCTTTACTCTCTTTTAATCTAGAATAGTTCATTTTCTTTTTTAAATTTTTTTAAAAATTTATTGAGAAGGGAGAGAGAGAGAGAGAGAGAGAGAGAGAGAGACAGAGAGATCTGTTGCTCCACCCATTTATGCACTTATTGGTTGACTCTTATGTGTGCCCTGACTGGGGATCGAACCTGAAACCATGGCACATCAGGATGATGTGCCAACCAACTGAGCCAGTGCTGGACTAGTCACATTTTAATTGTTCAGTAGCCACAAGTGGCTAGCAGCTCCCAGTTGGACAACATAGTTCTAGTGGTTTTCTGGAGCATTAATATTCTAGCAGGGGTCCTCAAACTACGGCCCGCGGGCCACATGCAAATACAAATATTGTATTTGTTCCCATTTTGTTTTTTTACTTCAAAATAAGATATGTGCAGTGTGCATAGGAATTTGTTCATAGTTTTTTTTAAAACTATAGTCCGGCCCTCCAACAGTCTGAGGGACAGTGAACTGGCCCCCTGTTTAAAAAGTTTGAGGACCCCTGTCTAGAGAATAATACTTTATAGGTGATGTCAATAGCCAGAGGTTGGCCTATATTAGTGATGTCTGAGTTTGACTCCTGGATAGGGGGCTACTACCAGATCTCTCCATTAAAAATATACTTTTTTTTCTTTGCAGTTGTATCTGGTAATTTTTGCATCTTGAAAATATAGGGTGTCCCCATAAATGTATACACGCACTTCAAATAGTTATAAAGGCAGTGCTTATTAAAGTACATTTCATTTTCAAAATTGAGCTATCAACTGTCAAAGTGTGTGTACATTTTGGGGAGGATACCCTGTATACTGTGTATCCCAATCATTCACTCTTTGTAAAACATTATTTTTAAATGTGTTGTGTAATATTTTGATCATACAAAAAGTTTCAAGACTAACATAATGAAGACCTGTTTCTCCACCACTTAACTTAAGAAATGAAACATGACCCTACAGCTGAGGCCCCTGGTACCTGTCCTTGATCACATCTTCTTCGTTTCTCCCCAGAGGCAACCACTTTCCTGACTGTGGTATCATTTCCATGCATTTTTGTGAACTTTTACTACATATATATACATCTCAAAACAATATAGTGTTTTGCATATTTTTGGGTAACAGTTTTATTGAAATATAATTCACATACCATGTAAGTCACCTGGTTAAAGTATACAGGTCAATGACTTTTAGTCTATTCACACAGTTTGCAATCATCACCACATTCAATTTTTGAATATTTTCATCACCCCAAAAGAAACGCACTGTGCAAGAATGTTCATAGTAGCATTATTCAAAATAGCCAGAAAGTAGAACAACTCAATGTGTGTCAACTGATGAATGGAAAAACTAACATGTGGTATACCCATAAAATGGAATGTTATTTGGCCATAAAAAGGAATAAAGTACTAATACATGCTGTAACATGGATACACCTTAGAAACATTATGCCAAGTGAAAGCTGGATAAAAAAGATAACATATTGTATGATTCCATTTATATGAAATGTCCAGAATAGGCAAATCTGTAGAGACAGAGAGTGGATTGTGGTTGCGAGGGGATGGAAGGGGGGCAGAATTGGGAGAGACTGGTAATGAGTACAGGGTTTCTTTTTGGGGTGGTGGAAATGTACTAGAATTAGTAGTAATGGTTGCATAATGTTGTGACTATACTAAAAACCACCCAACTGTGCACTTTAAAGTGCTTAAGATGAGTTCATGTTATGTAGATTTTATTTACTTGACTTGTAGACATATCACTCCAATCTCTGTTTCCATCTTCACATTGTGTTCTCTCTTGTATGGGAACTTAGGGCTCACCCTAATCTAATGTGACCTAATCTCCATCTGGCATGACCTCAATTTAACTAATTACATCTGCAAAGAACTTAGTTCCAAATAAGGTCAAATTCTAAATGAATGTGAATTTTTGGAGGACATTATTCAACCCACTGCAAGATCCGAATTAAATGTTCTGACACGTGAAGTTATGACAGTGCCTAGCACACGGTAAGTACTGTGAAACAGTTACGGTCACTTCTTTGACCTAATTTCTTGCCTCTCCCATAGTTCTAGCTCTAACCACATCAAAATGCTGTTTTTGCTGGTATTTTATTTTCTTTAAAAAATGTTTTAATCCTCACCCGAGGAAATGTTTTTATTGATTTTAGAGAGAGGAAGGGAGAGGGAGCTGGAGAGAGAGAGAGAGAATGAGAGAAAGAGACATTGATCAGTTGCCTCCTGTATGTGCCCCAGCTGGGGATCTAACCCTCAACCTAGGTATGTCTTCTGACTGGGAATCAAACCTGAGACCCTTTGTCACGTGGTCCAATGCTCTAACCACTGAATATGCTGGTCAGGGCCAAAATGCTTTGTTTTTAGAATATGCCATGATTCTTGTTTCGCACATACCCTTCCTCTGCCTTGACATGTGTTCCCTCCCCTCTGCCCCTGGCCAATTCCTACTTACCCACCAGGCCTCACTTAGAAGTTACTTTCTTTAGGAAGCCCACTCCTAGCTCCCTAAATCTGGGTGAGCTGTCCCTGTATTCCACCCCAGTGGCTGCCGTTATCATAGAGTGATGTTATAGAGAATGGAAGCTTACATTAGCTGTGGTGGGTAGGGAAGACCCTCTGAAGCGGGAGCATTTGAGCTAAGGCCTGAAAAATGAGGATGAGGCAGAGTAAAGCCAACACACACACACACACACACACACACAGCCTTGAGAAACCACTTGGTTCGTTGCTGCAATAGGAAGCAGTTCTGCACAGTGTACAGTGAGCGAAGATGGAACAGAATAAAAATGAGGCTGAAGAGCTGGGAGTTTAGATTCACCATCTCCCTGGCCCAGGCACCCTGATTTCAGGCACGCAGGGCCACAGGCCTGAAAATCTTTACCTTCGCACCTACCGATCCCTATGTCTGGAATGTGGTCCTTGCCTTCTCTGATTAATAATGAAATTCGACTCATCCTTCAAAGCTGAGTTTAAAACTGTTTACGAAACCTTCTCCCATTCTTTCGCAGGAAGTAATCACTCCCTCGCCTCATGCCCCAGAGCCCATATGTCCCCATAGTACTAATCACATGCTGACTGTATTTCAGCGAGCTGTTTACATGCCAATCTGCCCCACCACGGGGAGTGCCCTGAGGCAGAGGCTGTCTCAGCCACCGCTGCAGCCTCTCCTGGTGCCTAGCTCGGAGCCTCGCCCACAGCAGGTGCTCAATGAATGTGTGACATTTACTTGACGAGTGGGTGGTGCTTAGCACTACTAATGGCAGAACAGGAGGAAAACAAAAATAATAACAACTTCTGGTTTAGCACACGTTTTCCCATTCATTACCTGATTGGAGCCTATGAAACCGTTGAGACAGGCACTATGAGCTCCGTTTTCTAGATATTAGCTGAGGTCCAAGGGCACATAGGTGGTATATAGTGGGAACTAAAGCCTACTCCTGTCTCCTTACTTCGGATTCAGAGGAGGGGGCCGGAGGGGAAAGACGATGGAGAGCATTTTGAAGATACAGGGCGTAAGGCAATGGGCTCGGCTGCAGGGGAATGGTACTTTGGTGGGTGGACTCGGGAGGGATCCCGTCGGCTGGGGTGGAGTTAGCAGCCCCAGCAGGGAGGGCACAGTATTCCTCTCCCCGCCTCAAGCAGCTGGAATAGGTTGCAGCACCATCCCCCAGCCCTGGGGCCCGGGAACCTCTGACCCTGCAAAGAGGAGCCGGGTGTTCACGGGTGTTCGGGTCAGGTGGCTAAGATGACGTTAATGCTGACATGTTAGCCGGGGGCCTGCCTCTCAGTTGCTATGACAACCGAAGCTTGACTCCTGGGGCCTTGCAAGGTTGACCGAGGCGGGGTCTTCGTTAACTCGAAATGAGGGAAGGACATTATGTGGTGTGTATGTGGATGCGCGCAGTGGAATAAAGACGAAAAAGAGGTATATTCAAGACCCTGTTTAGCTCACTGATTATCCACCTCGGAAATATTAGAATCCATCCGCGCAGTTTTAAAAAAAATCCCGATGCCTACACCGTCCCCCGGACCCGTTAATTCAACCTCTGGGAGTGCCGCTCGGGCATCACCATATATTTGTGTTCCCAGTTGATTACAATCGAAACCAAAGTTGCAACCCTTGCTCAGTGGTGGGAGGTGAAATTCTTGCGACCTTCCCAAGATGGCGGCCACCGGGCCGCTTCCGCTTCGACGTGCGCCGGCAGGAGGCGGGCTTTCCGGGGGCGCACGCGCGTAGCGTCGCTTCGCCCCGGGAGCCGAGCTCCTTTCCCCCCCGCCTCCATTTTGTTCGCGGAAGCAAAAAACAATATGATTCAATCTATTTCCGGCGACG